ACATCTGGCGACTGTGCTGGCCAATGAATAACTTGGATGTGTTGCTGGACCAGATACTGCATGGAAAGTCTTGTTGTGTATTGCCCGTGCGTTGTCCTGTTGAAAAGTATGGACATCTTGGTGGTGATTGAAGACAGATACGATGTGATTCTGAAGAAGAATCTGCTCACGGTAATAAAGGATATTAACTCTCCCTTGACAGACATGACGGCAGTCCTGTGATTGTAATTTATTCCACCTCAGACCATGACACTCCCACCACCCAAAGGTCTGTCTGAACCACACACTCGTCAGCATAACGTTCACCATGTCTACGCCAAACACTTAATCAGCCGTGAGCATTACGTAGATGAAGACGTGACTCGTAAGTGACTACCACACCATGCCATTGTTGTAACCTTTACTGAAAATGCCTGCTAGCCCATTGCATACGCTCATTACGGTGTCTGTCAGTCAGAATTGGTCCAACGTAAGGACGTCGAGCATGGAGCCCTGTAGCGTGTAGACGGCGTCGCATGGAGTCAGCGCTGATGACCCCCACGTCAACCTTGAACTAGTGCAGCAGTCCTGGCAGTCGGCAGTGTTCAATCACTGATATGGACAAGGTCAATATGGCGATCCTCGTGGAGCGTCGTAACACGTTGTTGCCAAGGTCATTGAAGGTCACGGGTGCTGCCTGTCTACTGATGTCTATGAAGCCTAACGATGGTGGAGTGGCCAAGTCCAAGTTGTCGAGCAGTATACCTGCTGCTGGTGCCAACCTGAATCATGCCCAGTGCACGTTCTCTTTCGTGAGGTGTTAACCTCGGAATCTCTGTCCTCGTTTCACAATCGTTAGTGAAGCAATGAGAATCGGTTCTCATACACCTGCTTTTAATGTCATAGTCACTATGATTTCAGAATGAAATTCGCGCTTTTTTCATGGCGTGGCTGCATGCTGATGCATTTTGGAATTAAAAGTCATACTGAAGACAGGAATTTGTTTCTAAAGCATTTTTTTCAACTGGACATGCCCTTCGACTTCATGTTAGTTATATTCATTGATCACTGTCATGCTGAAATCCATCTTGATGAAAATATGGACGATTTTAGACTGGTGCGTTTTCAATGATGTTCAGTATATTTAGACCGGCGTCCTCGCCACTTAAAACTGTGTAGATGTGTAATACGCAGTTTTATAAAAGAACTAACACCCATTTGGGAACATTAAAACGAATGCCATCATTTCTTCTCAAAGAAGTAACATTATGTCTACTAGTTTATCATTACATATTTTGTGTAACAGGTGCAAACTCAAAACAATTGATATTTCCGGTTCCATTCAGTTTCAATGAGATAGGCCTAATCCCACAGAAGACAAATTTGTTAATCAGTGAGAAAAGGGTTAGAACAAAGGAGCATAGCAAAGACGTCTGCATTTCTAATTGATTATTACAGCCAGGATGAGACAAGCGAAAGCATTATGTGTCTTAAAAGGTTAGACCCTGTCTGAAAGGACTTGGATGCCTCCCACAAAATCCTCATCTACTCTAATTGCCATAGTCTCATGGCGGTTAGAAATTGGTGTAAACATAAACTTGTCTGCGTCTTTGCATGTGTCATACCCTTTCTCATATAGTAACAGAGCCAATAAGTAACCTTCTCTCAGACACACAGGCGCTTTTGTTCACCAGAAATAACTCAAGTAGTAAAGTTCATCATGTTGCTCCGGCTTCGTTGAGGCATAATAATTCATTTCGAAACACTTGGTGGAACAACTGATGTATGTGAAGTTGATGCTATTGAATCATTACTATATCAAACTTTAGTTGTTCAGCTCTTTGTAACATACGTCCCAGTAACTGCTTATAGAATTTTTGATGGGTGAGTCCCATCCAGGATTCGAACCCCTTCAGGTTCTCTGAGGTACCTCTATTGAGGCCACATTCGCACTGATGACGTCCATATTTAGCCAATGCTGTACCCCTTGCGTTAGCTATTTCTGGATGCAGTGCAGTGGGGAATTGATTCCCCATTGAGAGAAAACATTTAAGATTACAAGATGTGTGCCATATAACATAATACCTGTACATTATCCCACACAATGAACATTCATGCAATATTGTGTTTCACTCCTTATCTTGCGTCTTGGTGAAAAAGAATCGATGACCAAAATTCGTCCTCCAGAAAAAAACATTCTCAGTATTTTCATATTCTTCTGTTTGCTTTGAAGGACTGTTAAAAAAAATGGAAATAACATAACGTCTAACCTTTGAAGAATGCAGTATATTACACATTTATACCAATATCTACTCTCCACATTTTAAACTTTCTTTCATCTCTAAGCATTCCCAGTCCACAAGAAAAATCAAGGTATTCGGTTTCACTTAAAAGGTCAAGCTATCAAAGTAAGCAGAGCTTATTTATCTTACGAAGACATGTTTGCTCATCAGGATCATAAAAAGGTTACCCCGAGAACGTCTGAATCGCTAATTGATTGTTACAGCCAAACTGGGACAAACGTAAGTATGATATGTCTTCGGAAATGTCACGTTGTCTGGAAGGAGTCAGATGCGTTTCACAAAACGTTATCATTTATCTTATGGCTAATGGTTGTTGTCTCCATTTAGTTAGGTGTCAGTCTAGACGCGATACATAAACTAGTCTGCATCTTTGGAGATGCCATGCCCTACCCTTAGCGCTCTTGTCAATTTGTGACTTTCTTTTAGACCAAGAGACGCTTTTGTACATTAGAAGTAAGTAGAAGGCAAACTATTAGGTGGCAACATTGACCTTTTGACTATAAATCATGATATTGCGTTGCTACTATTTGCAGTGTGGGACAGACTATAGACAAAACCAATCCAGTGTCGTTGTGGGCTGCATATAGCATACATGACCCGAACCACGAAACCGTTGAAGATTATGAGTTAACTTCAACTTTCAGCTTGTGGACATTTATTAATACCCGCCAGTAAGCTATTCTATAGACGATACATGATGGGCTCGTAGATGACTGATAACTAAACAGAAAACCTAAACACTATTACAACCTCTGGACCTGACGTTAATATCATCCTGCAGGCACACGTTATCTCCAGATGACATCACTGTGAAAGTCATATCAATAATCTGCCATCTTTTAGCCATGGTGAACCTGCTGCGTGTTATATTAACGTGACATACTTTGTCTATCCAGTACTGAAACACACTTGACACCATGATAGCCTGGTGTCCCCAGGATTGTTTAAATTGAGATTCAAATGCGGTTTCCATTCATTATATGATTCATCATCTGTCCCTGCATATTATCATTGCATTTTAACCCTATCAGATTAGTTGCTGTCAATCTAGTTTAGTGTTGCGTTACGCTTTACCATCAGTAATTGTTTGTCCTGGGAGAAATTTCTGACCTGGACAGTTGTTGGTGCTGCAGCGATGGTGCCTCGACAATTAAAGACCATCCTTTTGTACATACAAAGTTGTTTAGGTGACAAGTAGCTATTTATCTATTACACTATTTATACTGGCGTCCTCGCAACTTTCATCTGCTTTAGCCTGTTTGTTTATAATTACACAGTCTTAATAAGTTCTTAAACGATCATTTGGTTTATCATTGTCAGTGTGCCTAATATTTCGAATTTACGTGCATATACTCATATCCCATTATGTTATCTTTTAACAATTACAAGTCAGCTCCTCTCGTTTTGAGGCGTTTCCCAAGCGCAAGCGGCGTAGTTAAGCACCTTGCTTCTTTGGCGAAGTAGACATGGACATACTCTTTAAGCAATATACCTACGTGTACGAAACTAGCCATGAGGGTTAACAGACATAACTCAATGACGGGGTCGTTGTCAGATAGTTTAGTGATCTGCCAACTTTGACGTCGTTAAAGTATTGTTTAAGCTATACGTCTGTGTCTGTAGAATACAATGACAGACTTCTTTGCTTTAATAGTTACTGCATTGTTTAACCTACACGTCTGTGCCTGCAGACTACCATAACGGATGATTGTGTTCCTTTTTGCAAAAGCGACATTTCTTTAAATATGTCAAATGTATCAAAACGCCACCAGGTGTGAATACTATAACTAATAGACAAAATATTAATATCGTAGAAAGTTGACGGATGTAATTGATAAGTGTCTTGCCTATAGAAAACTATAACCTTTCATGACGAAGACATTATCAAATACATCTGACAGCTGACGATATATCCTCTTTCACTTTCTTTGGCTGAGGTTATCAACAGCAAAACTCCCTTTTGATGACATCAACGATTGAGGGGCGAGTTGTAATTAAGGTATTAGGGAACTTGCCAAAGATATCCGTACCACGTCAAGTCAGTTTCAAGCAAGGACAAAGACTTGGCAAGTTGTATTGCATTGTTAATTACTCATTATGTCTCCTGAAAAAAAGGCATCCTTGAATTTTTGACAGACTGGATGTAATTGACTTATAAAGACAGATATGTTCCTTAAAAGATAGTTTATCTACCACAAGAAAACAATGAAATAAACAAATAATTTTGGGATGTGAAAGTTAGGGTTCGGTTTTCTGATCTAATGTCAACGAATATTGATATCCAGTAGATCTTGGACGTCTGACTTTCGAAAAACACCAGATATGTTTTGAATTTGCACAGATGCAGCTCCAAACCATTAAGCTACTACCTTGAAACGGTTGAAGGTGTATCGCTGCAACATATAGGACTGTCTTTTGGCCGTCGAGTCTGCCTGTGACGAACTATGAGCCAAGTAACTGTCAGTTTAATTTAGTTCCAGGACTCCATGCAATGTCGTCTCGCCAGGCGATACTCCTTTCGGCACACCTGTTCCCTCTGTTGTCGCGTTTGCCTGATATTAGTCACAGTATAAGGACTTGGGTTTGACGGAACAGAACATCTTTCGTTTTATACTGACACCTTCATTTGTCCATTGGCAATATTTTTATTTTAAACATTTCACTTAAAATATTCCCACTCCCTCTCCCATTTCAACTACCACCCTGAACCAGGAACAGTTGACATTTTGAAACTCGTCGTGTACGTTAAACACAACATCAGTTATATGGAAGGTGTCAGACCACATTAATCTCAGTGCCACCAACTCCGTGATAGCGGTCCGCCTAGTGTCATGATGCATACTTGACTCATGGGCTTGTTGCACAAAGAGAATGTTCACGGTCAAGGAGATCCCAAACTTTTCTACATGTGTTGCCCGTCCAAGGCTAAAAGTTCACGTGAATCGCTATATGAAAATTCTTAAGATCTTGCAGAAACGGTGTTCTTTTGCTCTATCGGCAAAATGACAGGGCAAAGAATTTGGTCAATGTAACGCTATCGAAGGATATGTCATTTAAAAACATTGGATCTCTTATGAACTGACCACGGATGACGCTTCAAACTATGAAGCTACCACCTTCAAACAGTTCGACCCCTGCCATGTAACCCTGTCTCTTGTCCGCTAAGTCTGCTTGTAAGGGCCATGAGCCGGGTGACTGTCGGTAATGGCGAGACTCCTCTTGCCTTGCACTGCTCCTTATACTGGTCTGGATGTGAGGGAACAGAATACATTAAACTGACACCAACTCCGTCATAGTGGTCCGTTAAGTGACATTTATGCATAATTTTCGTCCCTGTGGACATGTTGCATAAAGAGAATGTCCATGAAAAATTAGCCATAGACGTCTCTAACTGTGGTGCAGAACAATACATTTCCAACAGATTTGTATTTGTTGTGTGAAAGAAGTCACAGTGAATCGTTTGTGTATGAACACCACATTTATAACGGATAAACGTCTACAAAATTAAAGGTTAGACCTACGTTACACAATAATTGCTGATGAACACGTGGTGTCAATACAGACACCGATTAATGAAAACATGCTAATTGTACAGTCGCTTTAGCAGATATATAATGCAATCACTTCTGAAAATTCAATTGAAAAAAAATAGTAGTTCACTGCATGCACACAACGTGTTGCAAAATGTTGCTAATTGTGCTTGCTTAAAAAAACTAATTTAAAGGTATGATTTATTTTAAGGGAAATTTGAACCATGAAAACACATTTCTAAAGACAGATCTATTTGGAAATTACAACCAACTACGATGCCCTAAAAAGCCCTTGATTTTTCTTGGCTTTCGTCTTGGTTAAACACTGCATTGTCAAAATGGAGAATGTTTTTAGTCCTTAAAGATTTTGTTCTGTCAGCATTAAACTTGAAACCGTAACCACATAAACTGAAGCAATATTTTTCACTACTTTCTATTAGGTTATATGTTGCTTTTGAGCATGTGAGTGAGTCCTGCTTAACAATGTACAATAATCTGTATCGAAACGTCGCACTCATGAAATATAAGAAAATGTTATCGATAAAGTTTGTTCAGTAGTGTGTGAGTTGGTAAAGTATTCCTAGAATATCATTCCAGGGAAGGGAATCGATTTAGGTCTAAGACGTTAACCATTTCGGTGAAATACTTTGGCACGGGTAGGAGGCTGAAAAACCAAGAAACATAATCAGGTTGAACCGGCATTCGAAGCCGAATCAAACGTTTTTGGCAAACTAAAGGAATGCAACTGCGGCAGCTCAACTTGACAACTTGGCCACCCGTTACCCGGCTTTGTTGAGAAATGATATTTAATTTCAAAACACATGGGGGAACTGCTGAGGTATGAATAAAGAATGCCATGTTAGTGCATGCTATTGAATCCTTACAAAGTCCAACTTTAGTTGTTCAGCTCTTTGTAACATATGTCTTATTTGAGATTACTTTTTCCCAGTAACTGAACAGATTATAGTACTTTTGTGGGTGACTCCCAACCAGGATTCGAACCAACTCTTTCAGGATCTTTGATTTACCTTTGTGGAAACCACGTTCACACTGCTGGCGTCCATATTTAGCCAATGCTGTACCCCTTGGTGTTGGCTATATCTGGAAGCAGTGCAGTTAGAAGGACACTAGGAAATGATTCCCCACTGAGAGAAAAACGATTACAAGATGTCTGCCATGTAACGTTACACCTGTACCAACGGGGAACATTCATGCAATATTGTTTCTCACTCCTCATGACAAAAATGCGTTCCCCAGAAAAACTAGTGACCATGTTCAGTATTTTCATATTCGTCTGTTTGCTTTGAAGGACTGTTAAAAATGGAAATGGCCTATGCTATCTCACAGCATGAACAAGCCTGCGAAATCATCTGCGTTTGAATCAACTAGTATATTACACATATAAAACAATATATATTCTGCACATTTTCTATTTCACAAGAAGATTCAATGTATTGGCTTTCACTTGAAAGGTCAAGCTATCAAAGCAAATAGAGCTTGTTTTATCTCACTGAGACATGTTTGGTAATCAGGATCATAAATACGTTACCCAGAGGAACATAGCAAGAACGTCTGAATCGCTAATTGATTGTTACAGCCAAACTGGGACAAACGTAAGTATTATATGTCTTGGGAAATGTCACTTTGTCTGGAAGGAGTCAGATGCATTTCACAAAACGTTATCATTTATCTTATGGCTAATGGTTGTTGTCTCCTATTGGTTAGATGTCAGTCTAGACGCGATACATAAACTTGCCTGCATCTTTGGAGATGCCATGCCCTACCTCACACAGCGCTCTTGTCAATTTGTGACTTCCTTTTAGACCAAGAGACGCTTTTGTACTTTAGAATTAAGTAGAAGGCAAACTATTAAGTGGCAACACTGGCCTTTTGGCCATACATCATCACATTGTGTTGCTACTATTTGCAGTGTGGGGCAGACTATAGACAAATACCAATCCCGTGTCTCTGTGTGCTGGATATAGCATACATGACCCGAACCACGAAACCGTGGAAGACTATGAGTTAACTTCAACTTTCAGCTTGTGGACATTTATTAAAAAACCGCCAGTAAACTAACCTATTGATGATGGAAGATGTGCTCGTAGATGATTAATGACTGAAGAGAAAACCTAAACACTATTACAACGTCTGGACCTGACGTTAATATCATCCTGCAGGCATACGTAAAGCGAGTCTCCGTATGAACATAGACGTATTGCTGTCGCCTGACTTGGCAGTTCTGGAGGACAGAGTCAATTCACAGACGGTGTCGAGGTGATAATTGACCACATTTTGAGGCTCATCTGCAACATCATGGTCATACTAGACAGTCACACCAATGCAGGCATTCACTGGCACCAAGATGCACGTCTTTTGCTAATGTAAGCGTACGTTGTTCCAAGAGAGTAATAACTAGGTACACACAGACAGGTTCGTTAGCCTAAATCCCAAGGCTGACTCAACATTCGCCATAACAGCTACGAGGGACCTTCTGTGTTTGTTTAAGGGAATGTGGACAGTGAGTAAATAAGATATCGATGTTGATATCAAGGTCACAGCATAGACTACTCCAAGGCTTCGTGTATATATCAATGGATTATTGAACATAACTACAACAAGTGGAACTGAAATCCATTGAAAACAAAACCCCACTGAGCAACGATTTGTTCCTGATCCAGCTTCTGCTCGACCATCAAAATATCAAAAGTCAGGCTCTGGGACGACTGATTTCTATGGTATTTGCTTCTTACGCTTAGGACGAAGAATAGATAACATATTTTGTGCCGGTTTCACTCGGTCGCAATTATATCACCTTGTTAACAATCGTTCAGTTATGACCATTGCAGAAAACTTAGCAAAGCAAACAAATTAGTTTTATAACGCACGGCTGTCTCCAGTGTTAGATCCAGTGTTTAAATGTCCACCAAGTACGATGTCGATAGAAAACACTGTAAAACGAAATATCGAGCAAGTACATTTCTGTGATCCAAGCCACCAACTCTGCACAGATTCAACGTTAAAGGTTAATGCAATTGAGAGATTCCGTGGTATATGTGGGTTTTAGATCTATAATTCTGAAGGAAACACAAAATGCCAAAATTGAGTGATGCCGCCATGTACTAACAAGAAATTCGACCATTACTGCCCTTCATGGAAGTGTTATTATCAGTGTCAGTGGATGAGGGAGTTTTGTATTTGAAAACGTTCCAGTACAATAATGTTTTGGGACATAGTAATTGTTTTGAAAAATATAAAAATACAAACGTTTCATGTTTGAACGCATAAAGTTCCTCTTTAGTCGTATGTGGCAAATGTTAATGTTTCTACTGCTCATAATCTCCTGCAGTTATCATGTACTTTGTACAACGATTGCAGCGGTGACCTCCACTGAGAGTTGATGCTACTGTTAGACAACATTTACGTTTCGTTTCTTTTGTGATCATGGTAATTCGATTTGACGTTTGACGCGTGGATATCAGAATGAAATACAAGTTGGGATATTCTGTAGCAATGACGTGTAAATACAAGCTTCATGTGAAAATACCTCAATGACTTGTCAAGTAATAATAGGCTATGTAAAGAATAACATAATTAACAAAATTGTATGGTAAATACATCGATAATATGTAACCAATATTGATTTGATTAATCATTTGAAGAAGTTTAACTGTATCACCGCTAAGGAACACAATAAGTCCACTTGGCTTTGAATTAAGGCTTAGCAGAGTTAGGACAATTATGACACAAGAGCATCACCAGGTGATCGACATAAGACCTTTCTTACACTGTGACGAGGTGCGTCATACTAGCGAATCTAGCATATTTGATGCACCATCCAAACACGTTTCCTCTGAATACCATAAATGGTTTCTTTCCGAGGTTCATTCGTTCACTCTGAGTCGTAAGAGGCGACTAACGGGATCAGGTGGTCAGCCTCGCTGGCTTGGTTGACACAGGTCATCGGTTCCCAGTGCGCAGATCGATGCTCATGCTGTTGATGACTGGATTGTCAGGTCCAGACTCGATTATTTACAGACAGCCGCCATATAGCTGGAATATTGTTGAGTGCGGCGTAAACTTAACTCACTCACTCACTCATTCACTCTGGAATCCTAAATACGACCTCCACCGTAATACTGCTAGAATATAGTCAAAAGCTGCACAAAACCAAACTCACACACTCACTAAATACGACCTATCTCAAATCTGAAAAGCAAACGTCAACGTTAAAATTCACAGGCAGAACAAAACCATATACGACATGTTCCCACATACAGGTCACCCAGTTGGGCGATTCGAAGTTTGAAGCTAAATGCTTAACCTCTGCGTACCAAAAGAACCCAGGTTTTATATTCGTCAAGCGTAACACGACTCAGTCCCAAAGACTCTCCAAACAAACACAAAACACAGACCCTAAATACCGTCCAAACAAACCCCAAATACCCTCAATAGACCCGCGTAACAGAAGGGGTGGCAGTCTCTTTTGTCCATTAAACAACAGTCACCAATTCATCAGTTGATGAAGATCCTAATTATACATAGGTAATATTCAGGTCTTCACACATTCATATTAAATATTGACTAATGCAGACTTATGAGTCCAACAGTAAGGAGATCTCTTTTTAACATTCCATGCAGATGTAGGCCTTGAAACTGAAGAAAGAAGAGATCAGCAATAACTTACTTTATCTAACTCAAGTTGTCACCGTCGAATTCATATTTATTTTGTGTTATGTGATTGCCACATAGTGTCAGTAAAATGAATTAGCTTCTTAATTTTAATACCCAACTTATCTTTTATCCAATTGCAGTGTTTAGACATTTTACGCTCATTCAAACCAAATGCTGAAAATATGGTAATTCTGTTATATAATCATCAGCATTCACGTTGATGTAATTATAGCTACAGAAATGTGGTTTCCTGCCTTCTCGAGCCAGCAACTCCCAGTGTTAAGCGCAACCACTTCTTTGTTTAGTTGAAATGGGTCGTATTATAACAATGACCTTTGATTTCAGAAACACCATTCAGAGGTCATTGCCAGCATTATTGGGTATATTCTGGCATCAGAAATGAAAAGCAATCATTCACTGGAACTGAAAACTTTCAGACGCGTGCTGTTTGACGTTTAAAATTGCATGTAAAAACGTGCAATTAGCCCCATTTCGGAAACATATTCAATTTGGGTACGGGATAAGGAATCTTCTGATTTATTTTCACGTAAACAAGTCTTTGAGATTGTAAATTTCACCCAGGGACCTGACACCCAATAAAGCCTAACCTTTCCATGGCAGCATCTTTACCAGGGAGCCTGGTTGTACATCCGTGACGAGAGCCATCGATCGCCTCACAAAGTCTAGCTCGCACTTCCCAAACTCATTGTCCGCGGGGGCCACTGTAGAGACGCCAATGCGCTTGTATCTGGACAATAGTGCACCCAAGTAAGTTGGTCTGTTCGGGGCTGTTCTGTGTAATGAGACCACCACGCATGATCAAGGACAACTTTGCTCCAGGAAACTCTAGACGTCATTAGTCAGTGTCACGGCTATATGATTTATCCAACAAGCCAGAGATCGGTGTGGATCGTTGGCAGTTTATGATTTCTCTTCTTCTTGGGGCTTTTAGTATAAGCAGTAGTTGTGTAGTGACAAAAAAGATGTCTTTGTGGATGATGAGATGTGGACTTAACAAGACAGATGAGCTGCGAAGAATGTGTGATTGATTAGGTGTTGTTGTACAACTTGGAGAAGTAAAAGAGGCAGGCAAAATGTGATCTTTACTTTGCCCAAGGATACCTAAACAGATATGACTACATCCGTCGTTGTCGTCCTGAGTTTGCTGCTCTTCAACATAGGAGAGTACCAAACCCTGGACGAAAAGAGGTAATATAACACGTGTCTGATTTTATATGTCTTAATTTTCAGGTACAATATAATATTGCTGCGAAACATGATTTAATCGTGCATTCGTGTACAATTATTATTGATATAGCCATTGTATGTGTTCAAGATTTGCTTTCATTTTCAGCTGCATGTGTTTCTACTCAAACAAAATGTTATTTACTTCTGATGGAAGGAATACTATGTGCCATACGAACTGATTTAAAACAGTCACAGCGTTGTAGCTTCCTATATTACATACTTAAGTTGTAGTCGGAATCGTACAATTAACTCTGCATTTATTAGAGATTTCTTATGATTATGGAGACGCTTTGTGGCTGTTTTGATTTTATTGGTATGATCATGGAGTTAAACACACTAAATTATATCTAGATACTATCCCAATACATTCTGTAATTGTATGTCACGGCTGCATTTACTTTACTTTGACGACGGTAAAAAACCGTGTTTTTATTACTCTTGCTGAGGTTCCTACACGCATGTTGCTGTTCCTCAGAGAAGTCTATATCTGCTTAGAAACTCCTTTTCGGTGTTCTAGTAAAAGCATGTTTTTAATCAAAATATAGCGCTAAATAGATATTTGAAAGAAAAATGAGTATACATATAATGTGTTTCAAAAGGAGATTTAACCTTCAGGATGTCTCTAAAGGATTAACAGAATGGTGTTCGCCTGTAACCTGATTTGCACCTCGGGACTGCCTGCAGTCGTCTTTGTACATTTGTATGTTAAGTACATGTGTAAAGATATCGGTCTGTTCAAACGTGAATAGATGAGGTTGTTATCAATGTGACATAATTTGTTAGAAGTCTGCTGTAGAGTCTGCAATTGTTCATGTTCTTTCAGATACGCTGACCAAATATTCAGTGCATGTGAAGGTATAGCAGTGTCTGAAATCTATTTTTTTCTTTTCCGCATAATATATTATTACAGACACAACGCCACAATCAATGTTTCATTACATATTTGAATGTGTTTCGCCAGAGATAAAAGTTTCTCATTTCAACTCCCCGAACAATTGCTGTACCCACTGATAAAAATAGTGTATTCAACCGTTTTATCATTTGTAACTGTGTTTTAGGATAGGCTCTATAATGTCCAACTTTATCTTCATATAACGCGTTCCTTTCATGTATCACGGTAGTCCATGCTTAATATGCTGTCAATTTTGATAAGCGTCACTTTTCTCGACGTGAGTAGTAAACACATCCTTTATGGGTGTTCTTCAATCAAGAAATATGCCCGCAGCTTGGCAGTTACTGACTCGACCTAGCAACACGAACAATTGATGCCCGGTCACAGGGCGAACAAAATGACCCGTCCTTTAACACAGTTTTATAGCCTGATTAATGCTGTCTCGAAGAATGCCGCTGATTTGAGTAACCGTAGAGGTAAAACATTGTACCCAAAAAGCACCGGCAAGCACTGCAGCAGATCCGCAAAATCATGATTCACAAAGTGTGTGCTTGACTGAATGATTTAATGGTAAAGTTATTATTTCTAAATCTGCACTTTCGCAATAACTACCACGTATTTGTTCGTACACGTAGCCCTTGGAGAGTTTGAATCGATCAATAAGATCATTTTAAAATCATTACAATTATGAGGAGGCTGCACACACTAACATGTTTTCATGACGTTATCTGTACTGGTCGCGTTCGACGTTTGGGATTGCCTGTATTGATTTGGTGAACACTAATATGAACAAGTTTCCAGATGTATGTGATTACTTTTCCTGTCTATTTTCAATCAGCACCACGAGTACTAGACAAAGAGGCGTACTGCTATACAGTCACTCATCGATTGCATTCACTTCCATAAGTAGTACTAAATATAGCCACGCTACTACTACTACTACTACTACTACTACTACTACCACCACCACTACTATGTGTTATTGACGCCACGTTCGACAATATTCCACAACAGCAATGTTCAACCAGAGATCATTATTATACTTTGCACTGTCTTCAACCACCATTCCCGAAACATTCAAAATAAACTTAAATTTACCATATTTTTAAATGTAGCATTTTTGTCATTTTAAGTTTGGCTAAATGTAGCCAAAATCACCAGCTGCTGAAGGGTTGATATACATCCACCTTGGGTCCATGCAGGTAGCCAAAGTACTGTAAATCCCCATAGTCCCTAGTATGGTGATCAGCCTTCAGTTGCTGGTGATCTATAGCCCGTTTTTATATTTTATTGTGGTCTATAGTGATATCTTTTTTATGACAGCGTACTAGTTTTAAATTAAGAGCTGTGATAGTCTAGTAGTTTCACTCTCCTTCGATGACAGATTTTTATGTTCTAAATTTATTGATTTTAATGTTGATATAAATTGTTCTCGTCACGATATGGCTGAAATATTGCCGATGTGACGTTAAATATTAACTCACCCACTCACTCACTCACTTCAACAATCATGGTATAATGGGCAGCAATAACACCTTTCACGAACCTTGACATTAACCCACAATTAATGGTATAGCAAGATACGCTCATTTGTTTCTTGTTTGATCGGCATTCCTGAAGTTGGTGAGTCAAAGACGAAGTACACGACTTTATGTAGTAACAACTTATTTATTGCACAGAGTGATGTTTTGATCCTTACGCTTGAAGCTTTTAAAGGAATCAATACCAAAACGTCGCTCAATGCAGTAGAAAAGTTGTCATCCTTAAAGTCGTATCAATACTTTGTTACCCATCAGTTTCGATTGTGTGGACACACGGTGTCATAAAAGTCAGTCTTTCCTTTATGTTTATTCTTACATTTGTATGGATACATTCTTCCAATATGGACACCACAATGCAGTAAAAGAGTTGTTATCCTTAGAGTCGTATCAATACTTCGATATCCATCTGTTTCGATTGTGTAGACACCCGGTGTCATAATAGTCAGTCTTTCCTTTATGTTTATTCTTACATTTGTATGTATGATACATTCTTCCAATATGGACACCACAATGCAGTAAAAGAGTTGTTATCCTTAGAGTCGTATCAATACTTCGATACCCATCTGTTTCGATTGTGTAGACACCCGGTGTCATAATAGTCAGTCTTTCCTTTATGTTTATTCTTACATTTGTATGGATACATTCTTCCAATATGGACACCACAATGCAGTAAAAGAGTTGTTATCCTTAGAGTCGTATCAATACTTCGATACCCATCTGTTTCGATTGCGTGGATACTCGGTGTCATAATAGTCTTTTATGTTTATTCTTACATTTGTTATGGATACATTCTTCCAATATGAATACCACAAAGACTCTGAAATATGAGTGAACCATCACTAGCTTCCACGACTACTAGTTTGAATCACTAAGGAATTCAGCTGAATTCAATTTTTATAACTGAATAAAGCAATAGTAATAACTTTACAGTATGATTACTGAATCATTAATATAAAAAAATTCTGGCGGTAAATTTACGCGATCAGCGACATCGATCAACGCAAAAGGACATACTAAGTCCCGTCCACTCTGGTATCAGCCAATGGACATGAACTAGTTTTACTTCAGTTTATGCTAAAATAAACGCAAAACAGCTTGGTTAGCCAGTCAAGTATGATCACTTGCAATTTAGGAGTACTCACAATGATCTGATTACAGATAGATATAAAACGAGGAATGTGGCTTTTGGATACCTTTTTAAACAGATTCCAAACGACCAAATACTCATGAAAATGATCACTGAAATTTAGCGATGACATCGGATGTTCAGTGTGTAATGTGAACCATATCACACAGAGCTTTCCGAGCCAATTAACTATGTCAGTCTAGGAATGTAATATTGGTTTGAAACCGATAATTTATCAAGTATTTAATTGGTCATTCATATTCCTTCTTCGTCGTGCAATGACATTTACCTCTTACATTTAATTCAAATCATCGCTACTAAATCATGTTATTCTATTGTTTCGACTTATACTTGTTTTGCTATACATTTTGTTCAAAATGCGTATAACGAACTACAAAAAAAACGAAATAAAATTAGTGGCCGGTTTGAATTCGTATGAATCATGATATACTGTTTGTTTATTGCAACAAATATGTACCACTACCACGAACAAATGTCTTTGTACTTCAACCACCGCTTGTTATAGATACACTTTTCACATATTTCACATAAACCTCAACCGTATCGTGTTGTCCCAGGAGACCCCGTCGACCTCATTCATCTGAAGTCCCTCTACCAGAGCAAACGAAAACTAGAATTATTGACCTCTTTGATTTCGTCATAACCTGATTATACTGTATGTTTATTGCGACAAATATGTACCACTACCACGAACAGCAAACGCCTTTTATCCTACAACCACCGCTTGTTATAGATACAATTTTCAGTTATTTTTAAACCTCAACCGTATCATGTTCTCCCAGGAGACCCGTAGTCCTCGTTAAACTGAAGAACGTCTACCAGAGCAAACGGAAACAGTCTCCATCAACAGGAAACTTGCAGTTTGTTCTCAGTGCATAAACGACCATGTATGTACCGAAACACCACTCCCGTGATGTAATAAGCGAGGTAATGATAACACTGAGCTAATTTCGGTTGTGCACATACGTCATTTATAACAATGATATAAAAGTGGGAATATCAGGGGAGTTTGTTTGGTGTTGAGAAGAGAAAACAGCAGTTCTATTTGATCTTGCTCGATCTAATTGGTCCTCATAAAGACACTGTACCAATGAGAATTTGATAATGTAGATTTATGACTTTGATTATTTCTCTGACGGCTTCTGTTGGGCTTGTTAGATAGGGGTGTATGATTCAGCTAATTAACTTGTAGCAAAGGACCTATTCCTGTAGCCCGTCAGTTATGATAAACGAGACTGCACAAGCAGATTTTAGACAAACGTGAATGTTTAATGCAAAATGACAGTATCGGGGCTGTTATGCGTGGATTCTGATTAAGAACATCAAATATAATGTTTCTCTTTAGAAATTACAGTATCAAAATATGCAGACATACATTGTG